TCACAGAGTGATTGTTAACATGTGAACAGAACAGAACTACTGTCACACAGTGATTATTAACATGTGAACAGTATCCAACACGGACATTCTCTTGCTTTGCTCCTTCTAACCGCTCAGTGTGGTGTGTGTAAACAATAAATATGGATATCAATGACGACTCACTCCACAGCTGCTGATGACTCTGCACAAAGACCACAATCCTTGTGAAACTGATGCACGTGATGTGCATCTATATAAATTGCATGAAATATGAGTTACAGCTAAGTTATGATTCACGTTGGCACACCAGTCTGTTTAGGTGCTGATTGAGAACTCTGTAAATGTGACTATTAATAGCATGTTATTCTATGTGGAGGTCTACCTCTAAGTGCAACAGTAAATGATGAGCAAACCGTAAGGATCTGATAGAAATATTTAATAATGCTCGGCTCCTTCAGCCGCGAGGAGGACATCAGAGAAACCGTATAATCTACATGACAACAGAAAACCTTGTGAAAGCTCATAAGAAGCTGGTCAGTTACCCAGCTCTGTGCACACCGCCCTCAGGAGTGAACAGGCTACGGCTGTATCAAGCATCAGACTGTAGGAACCGTTTAACGGGCCAGCTACAGGAAGACACGTTCACAAAATAAAAAGTGAGAGAAATAAAATACAAGGCAAGTTTTTATACATTCTTCTACACATTCATATGTTTAAAGGCTGAGTGAAACTGCTCCTGGTTAATCAGCTTATAGACCAAGTGGAGTTTGGCAGCAGGCACAATGGTGTTCCTATGTCAAAGCACGATGATTAATTCAAGCTGTGCCCTCACAAATAAAGATAAAACCGTCCCTGTGCTGAGGCGAGAAAATAAAACACTCCCCTTTCTCTGCCTCTGAAAAGCAAGGCTTAAGAAGTGCTATTGATATGCAGCGCATGACTTTGTCTTTAATCTGTATTTTCAAATTGGGAGCAAGCGAAGGGGGGGAGGGGGGGGGACTTCAATGTTTCATAAAGGCTTGTTTGTGTACTGAGCTCTGGGACAAGTTTGTTTGTCTACAGAGAGGCGTTGGAGCTTTAAAGACGGAGACCTGGAGGTCTGAGCCGGGCCTGCTGTTTGTTTCTCATAACGGGTGAATGACCTGATGTAAATGGAGCTGAATGGAGGGAGAAGGGGGGCTGGGGGGTGTGAGAGTGTGTGTGTGTGTGTGTGTAACGGTAGTTTAAAGAGTCATCCGTCACTGTGCTTTGTTATTACTCTTGAATAATAAGGAGTTACAAAGTGACCTTTCATTTAAATTAACCCATTAATGCACTTTGTACTTTCTTAACCCCGTCTTGGAAAAAGAATACTTGAACAATGTGGCTTGTGCCACCAAGTGTTTATTTCTTCTCTTTTAGCGTTTGTGAATGAGACACAAAACAGTCTCTAAAATGGTCAAATAATCCCATTTACCCACAATCCCTAGTGCATGAAGAAATAGACTTAAATAAGTAGTGTTCCGATAGAAGGCACATTTTCATTTTTATAATTTCATCACTGAAGAAAAACAAATTATAAAATGAGCTACATGATAGTTCTAGCTGCATACCTGTTTCTCTCCATCAATCCCTTGCATCCTCGTACACTGTGTGTTGTGTCAGAATACACATTTATGTAGTAATGGGGTACACACTGACATCATTGGTGTAATATGTTAAGATTAATCTAACACTCAGAGCTTGGGTAGGTAACACTGGAGAAACCAGCAAGAGTCTTCACAAGTGTTGCAAAAACTCTTTTCCAATGATTGTAGCTAGCAGCGTTAGCTCCGAACGTTACTAAATCTAGCGAGAAAGTCACCAAGTCGGCAACACTGACAGCCCGTCCCCTCAGGCCTCCCTCCAAAGCCACTCCCCCAAAATGATCAGAATGAATGTAAACAATGACCATGGCTTCTAGTCAGTACCCACAGCTATCAAGCTAGCAGCTTGTGGAAGATTCAATGACAGACAGGTGTGTAGACAGGTGGACAGACAGGTGGACAGACAGGTGGACAGACAGGTGTGTAGACAGGTGTGTAGACAGGTGTGTAGACAGGTGTGTAGACAGGTGTGTAGACAGGTGGACAGACATGTGTACAGACAGGTGTGTAGACAGGTGGACAGACACGTGTGTAGACAGGTGGACAGACAGGTGGACAGACAGGTGGACAGACAGGTGGACAGACAGGTGGACAATGGACGGACTTATCACAGTCCTGCAACAGTTAACGGATATTATTATTAAATTTTGTAAGAACATTAAAACGAGTGTTTGCCGTTTGTGATGCAATGAGAATTTGAAAAATATATAACTTTTTTTTTTCTAAAATACGTTACCCACCCTTAGCTTCAGATACCCAACCCGGCCCACCGACATTAAAATAAATCCACGACTCTTGATCATTAGACCGGTTTTGTGTCAAATTCAGACAAAGTGTTTGAGTATTTCATTGTGTTGTTGGACAGACAAAGGGAGGGAGGCCGTATCTAGGCCCTAGCTTTAAGGATTTATTGTATATTCTGCCACGGACTGCTCCTGAATCATTTCTACTGACACAAACAAAGTAGTGGGACCGTCCAGCCAGTGAGGGGTAAAGGGTAAAAGCTGCAATACTGGTTAATATATTACTGGTAATAAAAAAAAGTAATTTAATTAAGTTAAAAAAGGAACCAACAACAGATATATGAATGTCACACACACACACACTGTGAGCGTGCTGGATGCATCTGTAAGTGTGTGAGTGCACGTCCTTAACACAGCACAGCCTTTACTGCACCAACTGAACTGTTAGTGTGTGTGTGTGTGTGCTACTTCAGCCCCCCCTTGCTACGTTTGTTTGTTATTCGCTGAGATTTTGGGAGTCCGGGTGAGTCCTCTAACACAACAGGGTCACTTCTCTCTCTCAGACCACCCACCCACCACCCCCCCCCCC